GCAGAGACCGTCAGGAATCGTCTAAGACTCCATGGTATCAGACCGATGAGGCCCTTTACAGGGCCTATTCTACGGCACCACCATCGTCGTGCACGACTGCGATGGAGTCGAAACGTTCGAGCATTGACCTTCGTACACTGGAGGATGATTTGGTTCAGTGACGATTCACGTTTCAAGCTGATTCGTCATGATGGAAGGATACGTATTTATCGGAGGCGAAATGAACGTAACACAGTCGGCCCTGCGTTCTTGAGAGTGACAGATTCGGGGAAGGAGGTGTCATGATGTGGGGAGAAAAATCCGCTAATGGGAGGACTAATCTTGTGAACATACAGGGAAATTTAACTGTTCTTCGTTATCGTGACGAAATTCTTCAACGCCATCTTCCTTCACGTCTGACGTGAAATATTCAAACAGGACAATGCACGACCACACGTCGCTCGTGCTACAATGAATTTTCTTGCAAACCAACAACGTAAACGTGCTCTCATGACCCTCAAAATAACCCGATCTCATTTCTTTGAACACATATGGAACCAGCTCGATAGACGTGTACGAGTACGACGACGACCTCAACCTCAGACACTTCAACAGTTACGCCAAGCATTGGATGAAGAATGGAGAAGGATTCCACAGCATCGAATCAGGACACTGATACAGTCTATGTAGGAGATGCAGAGATGTGATTGCTGCTGGTGGGGGGCATACGAGATACTGACTTTGAGATGATGTTGTAGCGGACGCCAACGTTCAAGAAGCTTGAAATTACTCTGCATGGCTCAGGATACATGTGGTTATATTCTTGTGAAATCATATATTTGTGCATTCAGTATGTATGGAGTAAATCGATTTTGAATTAAACATAAACATACCTTGATTTTACCCTGTTGCGTTTCTTGTTTTGCCCAGTGTACTAATAAATATCTATTCAACTTTAATCTTAAAAAGTGTCCTTGCATTTCATTTCACTGGGGATATTTTAGTCTGGTGTTTCTTGGGATCCTTCATACTTTGTTCAGCGTAATTATTTTAATTTCACCAGGTTTGTGGCGGCATGGCTATATGGGCAAGTTTGGACAACCGGTAGACATCCCGTACACTATATCATGTTTGGACTTTCCATGAATTCTTCTGTTTGAGATCATTATGAACTTATTTTCAGTATCTGTATTGGAACTTGTACCAGCTGAAATATAATGTTATTGTTTGCCTGTTCCTTAAAAAATAATCCTATTTTGCAATTTTGTAACGGTATTTGGAAATGCTAGGTGAACAGCTGGTTATAATGACGTTAAAATGCTTTCAAAAAATCATCACCATCATCACTATAATTGTTTAAAACCTGTTAAAATATGTTTTAAACTTTCGATTGCTTCAGTAATGTTTGTTACAGTTGGAAGTGAACGGCAATAGAGTTGTCATAATTGTGTGAAGTAGTCCTCATATAAAATCCTTCCGGAGAGGCATACCATATGATTAAAACATATTTATTTCCACTGAAAGGAACCGGATTGGTAAACAAGCATATGCTTATATGAATACCGCTCCGGGATACAATGGAAGGAAGAGTAAACATGTCATGATGAATGTACAATGTGAATTATATATAAATTTTGCAAAAACGAGAAATAATACCAATCATTGTTAAACAGTATATGCCATATAAACAAATTATTTTGGATCAAGTCTGCCAGTTAAATTATAAACGAGTGCACTGAAATTAAAAATTCTTTGTTTGCTATTGATGAATATTTTTGGTTTCCAAACAAAACTAATTTTAGGTCAAACCTTTTAGTATAGTAATACATAATTTGACGTATATCGTTGTGAAGAGTTCGTGAAAAAAAAAATGAACATGAGCAAGATCATGTTGGATATATAAACATAGCATATGTTTGAGTTCGTCAAATCTGAAGAACACCTAAAGAATATTAAAGGGCAGGAACACCATAAGTATATGTGGCTTTGAGTACTACACCCATACAGGTGACTTCCTCATTACATGTGTCTCAAGTCACATGTAATTATCACTGGTTACAATCACTGGTCATTGTTTAAAGTCACTCAAGCACATTCTCCAACCACGCAGGATCATTTCAACAGGAGTCTTTCAAGTCGGAATACGATTATAAATGTTGTCATAAGACAAGTAGTAGCAAGCAATCACATGATCAAACATGGCAGCGTAATCACACAGCTCATTTCCATTTATGGCTTAACAAGCTCAATTCCGGTTATTTGGTAAATAACAAGTGGGAAAAGAAAATGAATAACACCAAAGATTCAGGGTGTCACATTTTATCATCAACACAGATTCCTGAGCTCGCATTAATTTCGTGACGCATTTTATCACGAAATTACAGTATTCAGCTATTTACAGTATTCAGCTATAAACAGAAGATTTATTTCATTAGTCTGACCGAAGTTTATCCTCCTTATGGGCATTAGACCTCACCAAAGAACGTATTAGCCTGACCATTAATGAGATGGCCAATATCTCCTTAGCGAGGTAATGTGACTGATCCTCCTTCTTCCATCTTCCCACGTTTCAGATGAATTATGTCACATTGTCGGGCCGATACTCATCTCACTGGAGGACTGGTGAAGAAGAATCTACTTTGCCACTGTGGCAGAGAGTTCAAGGTCATCAATGTACATGAGGTCAGTAAAAGCGGATGTGTACAGAGGATGATGATAACGCTAACATGCTAAGCTAATATAGTAATAAAGTTTTTCATCCAGATAGTGTATGCTGACATACATCTGACTTCTAACTGCTCTTCCAAGAAAATTAATCTGTTTGGTTTTTACTCTTTGAATTAAGAGTGAAACATCCAGTTGCACACAATATGAAACGGCATCTGGAATTAATGCACATAAAATGTGTATATCTATGGATGATCTCTCTCTCTTTCTCTCTCTCTCACACACACACACACACACACACACACGTGTTTATATATAGCCCTTCGTGTTTCTCGGTTTGTGGGTGTATTCTTTTGATGTCTAGGTTTTTTTATGCCGTCTATTGTTAGTGACGGCACATTTCAGTGTTGTATTTTGTCCTGCTGTTTTGGAGACTCTTTCATTGCGTTTTTCAATAACACGTGTAAAAGAAAGTAAAGTTTTTCAAACATCTCTTTATGCTGTTTCTCAAGCGTTAACACCAAAACAGCAATATTCCAGACATTAGAACGGCATTTTATAAACAACTGAATCCAGTTAATGTCATCAAGCAAGCAACCGGCATTTGTGACGTGCAACTAGGCATGTCACCGACCCTGGCCACCGATCCAGTTTTTCGCACAGTGTGTGACAGCATGAGAATTTACGCATGGATATTATATTGCATGCTTCCAGACATGATGTTGGTTCTTGTACATGTATAACAAACAGAATTAAAGAGACACTAAATCTCCTTATAAATGATAATCAAGCTGGGTTCATCTCTGGAAGGTGCATTTCTGAAAATATCAGACTTCCTTACGATATAATGTTTGAAACAAAAAAACAAAACAAAAAAGGTCTTTTCATCTTGATAGAGTTTGAAAAAGCCTTCGATACAGTCTCTAAGAAATTTATTATGATGGTCTTGGATAATTCGATTTTGGTTACAACATACAGAAATGGGTAAATATATTGATTTCCGATGCTTCATCATGTATCATACAGAATGGTAATTTGTCTTCGTTTTTCAATAATGAAAGGGGTTGTAGACAGGGTGATCCAATCTCTCCCTATCTATTTTTATTTGTAGCCGAAATACTAGGTATAATAATAAGAGAAAACAAGAAAATTAAGGGTATATTGTTAAACGAAATTGAACATATCATTGGCCAATATGCTGACTATACTGAACTATTCTTAGACGGTTCGGAAGCCTCTCTTAATGAAGCAATGAAAACACTTATCTCTTTCTACAATATGTCTGGTCTGAAGATAAACATTTTCAAACAAAAGCGGTTTGGATTGGTGCAATGGCTGGTTGCAAAATAACTTTATCCCATGATTTCAAGCTGGACTGGCATTGTCAAAATTTGGATGTTTTGGGAATAAAGCTTAATGCTCATTTAAAAAACTTGTGGGTGATCAATACAAAGAAGAGACTTGAATATATCAAAAAAAATCTTTTGAACTGGAAAAAACCCGAAACTTAACCCTGACTGGAAAAATAACCGTTATTTAAAGTTTAGCTTTATTAACTATAGTTCATGTTCTTACACATCTCTTCCCAATCCTCCGAAAGATGTCATAACAAAATTGAAAAATATTTTTTTTGAATTCATATGGAATGATAAGAAAGACAAGATAAAGCTAATTAAATAATTAATGCGAAAATATGAAGATGGTGGTCTGAGAATGGTTGACATCAAAACGTTTATTGATTCACTAAAAATTGCATGTTTAAAGAGATACGTGTCAAATTCTAAGTGCTATAAGTTAGCTGGTTTCCCTTTAAAAGACATTCTTCTATTAGGCTCAAATATTAGTAAACAATACAAAATCGAAAACCCGTTTTGGAAAGACGCACTCGATGCATGGGGTAGATATATTAAGGGCTATGAATGGAACAAGGATATAAATGAAATTCTTATGAAACCCATTTGGTTGAATCACCTGTGTAACCACCCTAATTTGATTATATTGGACTGGTTCCAAAAGGAATAGTACACATTAAGGATATTTGTAATGACCATGATTTCCTTACATTTTCAGAACTTAAATCAAAATTTGATATTAGGGGTACGATACTTGGCCTAAATCGTGTTCTTCTCAGTATTCCCCAAAAATGGAAACGACAAAACATCCAAATAAATCAAAATTGTTCCCCTTGGAATGATTTGAACAACCCCAGTAAAGGCTCAAGTATAAAAAAAAGTATAACAAGGAGACACGTGTTTATTGTTCATGACATTTTTTTCAAATCGGAACAAGCACATGGTTGTGTATAATTCAGTGCTCGGTATGTTTTGAGGTCGCACACGCAGTCGCCGTATTCATCAGCATACCACGTAAATAGGGCGGCCGTTCACAGGTTGAGCTGGTCTGACGTTTGTATCAACGGAGAGGGGCTCGCCGCCACTGACTGGAACGTTCTTCAGCACGTTGAGCTGTAAGAAGGCAACAGGTTAGAGTTAGTGTCAACTAGAATGATACGCTTCTTAAAATCATGGCAGAGCGTGACACATAGATATAACGGTCCCCGCATCAAGGGACTGTTAGTTGATGGGGTCATCTTGAAATGGAGTTGCGCCCCTTAACAATGACAGCATCCAATAGCAATTAGTTTTTCGTCATTATCAACGTGGTCCATAACGTAAGGCGTCCTAGTCATCTTGGCTGATGAAACGGTTCAAATAAGTTCAAGCGGCCTGCCTTATTCCCTCAATATATATTTTGAACTGTGAGTGAAAGATTTTGAAGAAAACCAGACACTACTATTTTACTTAGCCATCGATATTGTCAGTACGAAAATACCTTCAGTGGAGTTTAAACGATGTTTTCAAAGTTTCTAATTATATTGATTAATTTGGAAAATGACACGCCACAGACCCACTTGCTTCCAATCAACATTTGGATTCTTACTCTGTGCCACTATGGATGAGAGAGTCACTTTTCAGTTTTACGCCGCGTTTAACAATATTCCAGCAATATCACGGCGGTTCACCATGGAGATTCGGTGCAATACTTGATCCCAAGGACCATATTTCGGTCCTAAAGGCGAGTTAATGGTTGTCAGGTTTGGTTGACTGCATCTCCTGCACACTGAAGGCGAGTATCGTCGTCAACATCTAACTGGTTCAGACTGGATTATTTGCAGGTCGCTGTCACATAGTGTGAATAATACTTAGACGTTAAACAACATATGTAAAAACATTCTTACCCTGTCTGCTGTGGTGAGAACAGGCAAATCCATAACAACCCATCGGACTGACTCCGAACAGGGCGGGGTGGTAAGCGACCCCTTGTACGTGTAGTAATCGTTATTCATAAGCAGCAGTTCACGTGGGTCCAGACTCACTTTCTCGGTTCCATCTACACCATGACAACAGAAATACACCTCAATACAGACAAAGATATGTTTCTCGGTTCCATCTACACCTTGACAACAGAAATACACCTCAGTACAGACAAAGATAAGTTTCTCGGTTCCATCTACACCATGGCATACACCTCAGCAACAGAAGTACACCTCAATACAGACAAAGATAAGTTTCTCTGTTCCATGAACACCATGGCAACAGAAAGACATCTCAATACAGACGAAGATAAATCGATGCGATCATTCGTGTCTCTTTCACAACATATTACCATGATCTATGAATAGTTAGTAAGTGTGGTTTTAAGCCATGCTTAACACCATAAATGTCAAAATTTACTCATGTTGGGATCGAACCCGGATCACTGACGACACGAACTGTGCTTTAACTCGTAGGCTACTCGACCACCTTGATTTGGGATGATGGAAAGAGGGATGTCTTTAACAATTTCTGTTTTTCATATAGATGTGAATTTGTCATTGTTCAATCCAAAATGTATATTTTAAGAAATCCATTTCAAGCTTACTAATCAGATAACTTTTTATTATTTTATTACTGCTCTACATGTAACCTAAATGGAATAATACATCATATTTCTTTTAAAAACACACACACACACACACATACATACACACGCACATATGTTCACAACCTGGATATCTGCGTCTCAGTGCAGTACAGGGCAGTGACTATAATTGTAAGCATGGGTACATTGATGGTCGTAAATCTGTCCAAACAGAGGGTTACCAAACGTCCCGCTGAAAACAATTACCGTAACCCGTATAAAATATGTGCCTTGAAAAATGCCGCATTAAATCTCAACTTTAAACGTTTGCCATATACCTACCGCCTTTCAGTTTGGCCACTCCATCCACAAACCTGTTGAAAGCATTGTCTTCCGACTCCCCTGTTACCTGCGGGAAGGATCAGAGTCAGACTGGGTCACGATGACCTCGGGGTATAACGAACTAAATGTAGTGGTCCCTTTGGGCTCGCTATAACCGTTGTTTATCGTATGTAATGATCTGATCAGCTGTCAAATGAAAAGACTGTGAAGTCTGAACGTCAGCTTCTTTTTTATCGGGCTTAGTCATTTTTGGGAAAGTTAGTCCGGGTTCTGAAAACTTCTTACCTCCAGAAACACCCCAACGACAGCCAAGCCGTCTTCCTTGCCAACGGCTGCCCCAACACTCCGATACCGTTTTTTGTAGTGAACCAGATGTAACTACAACAACGAGGACGGACGTCAGTACCATAAATCATATGAAGTAAATGTACATACACCCGAAATGACATCTGACATGACGTGAATTCGCGGTATCAGAGCCCAACAATATGTTACTGGTGACCGTTGCCGGAAGTGTGAGAGAGGAAGAACAGTTGTAGTGTATGTAATGAGGAGGTATATAGAGAATCTCACCCGAGTGTCTTTTGATATGAAATATATTACCACGAGTTGATAAAGTTACAAATATCCGAGGTTTGCTAAGGATAATTTTTCTTTTATCAACGAGTGTTGATGTACTTGATATCAGAAGACACGAGGGTGAGATTCTATTTATCATCAAAAATCACTCATCCTTAGTTTTCAATGAAAAATGTACATCTCTGAACACTGTACTACTATTAGACTTGGAGTGTAGCGATGTCATAGCATTGTGACGTCATCAGGTTTTGACGTCATAGCATTGTGAGTCATGTAATTGATGATGTCTTTTTGATGATGTCACACAAGCAATATCTCCTTTGGAAGACAGTTTTGGGTCATTTTTTATCTCAAGTTGGTGGAGATTATGTGTAAAAATGTAAGTCCCCAACAACATTTGCTTGTCATAAGAGATGGTGAAATCAACCTGATGGTTAGGCTTGGTGAATGCATGTCATCGTATCTGAAGTTCCATGATGTCAGTGACTGGATGGCCTGGTCCAGATTCGATTGTTAACTTATCGACATAAAGTGGGACTAAAACATCTCCAATATCCTTCACTAAAACGGGAAAATGCATTTCCCTAGGTTATGTCAGGTTAGATACAACGTGATTTTTTATGATAGTTCGTTGTTTTGTAACTGTATATTATATTTTTTCTAAAATATATAGTTGACATAATTATTACAAAATGTACAAAATGAAACACATAACAGGCAAATCAAGCCTTAGACAAACTGAAGGTTATTGAAAATGTACCATCTCCGCGCTACCATTGACTGGTGGAATGACTGGTGGAATCAGTAGTGTTTAACAAGCAAAAGGCCAATGAAGCATGATTTTGTTTCAAGGTAATAGCCAGATAGCCAGACCGAGGGAAATGACATCTTGTCACTCTATACATCTGAAAAGTTGCCCTTCGAACAATAAACCAGCCTGGTTGCCCTTACCTCCCCGTCGAAGTGCTTGCCGTTGACGAGATGTTCCGAGGGAGAATGGAAGTGGATGGAGTGCAGAACGTACTGGGCGTCTATGAAGGGCATGTTCTTCGTCACGAGGCGATTATTTTTGAAGAAGGCGAGACTCGCACCATGGCCTGCAGTCAAATGCGTGTTAGGGTAAGTCGTAGGGTTTTGAGAAGGACATACTCGATTATCCAGAGTGTCATCAGGGGCGTAGCTACGATTATAAGGAAAAAGCCCGGGCTTACACATGATTGTTGCTCAAAAGGTTGGGCAAGCACTCAATACTATCAAAAGATAAATTTTTGCAACCTATCGGGCTTACGCGAAACAATTGGCTTGCTACGCGCCTGGTTATATCTCCATCTGGATAAACACCCTGGTCAAATTCGCCACGATATTGCTGTTCTGGACCATTCCTATCTGACTTCATCTGAATAGAGTAATTTGTTTATAGTTTGAGTAGAACTACAATACGCTAGATAATGGAGACCATCTACCAGTGTTATGTATACTGACGGCCAAAAGAAACTTTACCACTTTAAAAATGAAACTACAGAAAGACAAGTTTAAACGAAATCAGCTGAAAACACACCGTCCAAACACAACTATACTCTATACAGAAAGTGATACAGCTCGGGCAGCCAAAACTGCACGTGCAATCAGGGTATAAAGATTATACAAACGGCATGTGAGACACTCACACTTTCGAGAATAACAGTACTGGAATGCCAGAATGGGTTTGGTAATGGGGGAATTTGTGGGCAGGTACAGTTGTTAACGGCATTTTGACAGCTTGGTGTTACATGGATGACATTCTTCGTCCAATGGTCCTACCAAATCTACAAAAGCCACGTGGTGTCCTTTATCAGCACAACAACGCCAGTCCCCAAACAGCCCGAGCGTTTGAAACGTGCTTGCAGCCAACAACGTCAACGTGACCTGCAGCCTCCACAAACATGTCCCCTTTTGAACACCTCTGGGATGTCATGACCCTTCAGCCAACCGACAGGAACTGATTCAGGCCTTCCAAGAAGAATGGTGATGGGTCTCACGTGACGCCATCACATGACTGATTGTTTTCTGTGCGCTGGAGAGCCCTGTAGGAGTGAGCTGTCATACAATCTATTAGGGGCGGCGGGGTAGCCTAGCGGTTCAAGCCTTCGCTCGTCACGCTGAAGACCCGGGTTCGATTCCCCACATGGGTACAATCTGTGAAGCCAATTCTGGTGTCTCCCGCCGTGATATTGCTGGAATATTGCGAAAAGCGGCGTAAAAACTATACTCACGCATTCACCATAATCTATTAGTGTGACATGCCATTGAACCTTAGCGACTTTAGATAAGTGTGCCCATTGTCCTTTAACTTGAAAGCTTGTTTTTGCCACCCAACCACGAGCAACTGTCGTTTATAGCATTTATTTCAGGAGAAATATATATGTTCAGCTTCATGTCCGAATGAATCAGCTCTTAGAGGTAGAGATTCATCGCGATGGACTACAGATACGATAACTTGGCAAATGAGGCCTTATAACATAAAGTGATATCAACATATTGTGACGTCACAAGAGGACTGTAAGAAATAATAATTGCTAGAATGTAAACAAACTGAAATTCTCACCATTTATTTCCAGATTGCCTGATATTTCTTTTCGATGCTTGGGTATGTACTTGATGGGGTCTAGCTTGGCACAAATTGCGTCCTTACTATTGATGTTGATGGGAGACTGGTTAGACCCGTCACAGCAGTGGGTGTCCTTGTCCAGCTCATGCCAGTGAGAAGGATCTGAAAATGTACAGAACATGTGTCAGACGCGAAAGAATGAAAATAGCTTGCAGAAACGGAATAAGTTTCAGTTTATGAAAAGTACTGTTAAACTAAAAAGGACATTCAAAATAGCAGAACCATAATTATCAGTCTCGATTATCCGCCGAAACAGATTCAAATATTGATAAAATTTGTAGGAATGGACCTCTTGACAGTGATAACACCAGGTTTTCGCGAAAAGTGTAAGCTTGACACTGCCCTTCTGGTCACACACACCAAACACACAGTGCATATGGAAACAAGTGTTTGTTTCCTCGCACCGCACAACAATACCCCTTCCATGCGATGACGACGACGGATAAACAAACCAGACAGTTTAGTGATCGTTGTACCAGAAACTCCAGTGACACAAAACGCCTGATGAAAATAGAAACTACACTCTCTCAAAAAAGAAACGCAACCCCTATCTAAATATCTGACATCATTTCTAGAATAAAGATGGTGAATGTAAATTAGAATTTTCTTCAAAATACTGCTAATACGTTCCCATCTGATCAGTATAAGCTCCCAAACGGAACCATTTTCACACATGATGACCTTTGTATCCGTGTTATTTGAGAAAGTGCGAAATTGTCATGTACAAAATGCTAAAAGCCTGTTGCACGTGCAAATCGTTGAAAACACCACAGTTCCATGCAATTGAAGATCGTCCCAGGAGCGGTAGACCTAGGATCACCACACCGGCTCAGGATCGCTTTATTCGACTCAGCCACCTACGTAATCGGCATGCCACACCCACCATCACTGCAACACAGGTGCCAGGTTTGAGGAGAGTATCGGCCCAAACCATCAGGAACCGTTTACATGAGGCAAATTTACGTGCAAGAAGACCAGTTGTTGGGCCCGTCTTGAACGCCAACATCGACGCCAACGTCTCAGGTGGTGTACTAACGTAAGGAGATGGACCCTTAAGAAACTGGAGAAGAGTCTGGTTTAGTGACGAGTCTCTGTTTCTTCTTCAACGACGTGACGGTAGACAACGTGTCTATAGACGAGCAAATGAACGTTTTGCACTGAACTGCGTTCGACAGGTCGACAGATTTGGAGGAGGAAGCATCATGGTATGGGGAGCCATGTCTTACAACCAACGGTCAGACTTGGTCATCATTCGTGGCAATTTGACGGCAATAACGGTACATTGATGACGTCTTACAGCCACATCTTCTGCCGATAATCGCCCAACAGAGGGAGTTGTTTCAACATGACAATGCCCGCCCTCATACAGCTCGCAGCAACAGTGGTATTCCTACAGAATTCAACGTCAACGTGATGCCGTGGCCCTCCAGATCGCCAGACATCAATCCTATCGAACATCTGTGGGACCAGCTGGATCGTCGTGTTCGTGCACGTACACCACAACCGCACACGTTGGTTGAACTGGCCGCAGCACTCCAGGAAGAGTGGAGAGCAATCCCCAGGAAAACATCCGCCGTCTGATTCGTTCTGTTCCGAGGAGGTGCACTGCTGTGATTAGAGCTCGTGGCTCTACAACGAGATACTGAAGACAACGCCCCCTAGCGTAAATTGAGAGTTCGATACTGACCTGCATTAACTGTTACCTTATACCGTGCTGACCTAAGGTTCACCATGTCAAATTTCATGGCATTATCTTTAAAAATACAAATGTAATAACCAGTTAAAATTGATATAAACATTACCAAATAAAACAGGGGTTGCGTTTCTTTTTTGAGAGAGTGTATATATAAAATTTCAATTACATTTTGTTGCGTACATGTACAAGGATCAATTGTATGACTTAGAGATGACACCAGGTGTTCGGGAAAAACGTAAGCGTGGCTTGTTCTATCGGTAACATCCGCCACTCAACGTATTTTTCACAGTGGTTTAGTTGTAGCATAGCTATGGCAGCTTCAGGTGAACGCTAACCGGTACCACTTGGGTTTGTCCCTCAACCACGTACGTGGCGGAATAAACCGGGAATAATCTGGGCCAATCTGACAGAGAAATATTTGCGACAGGCGTAGAACTGTCGATATATTTTTGACATGGTATAACTGTCGATATATTTTTGACATGGTATAACTGTCGATATATTTTTGACATGGTATAACTGTCCATATATTTTTACATGTTATAACTGTCGATATATTTTTTACATGTTATAACTGTCGATATATTTTTGACATGGTATAATTGTCGATATATTGTTGACACGTATATAACTGTCGATATATTTTTGACATGAATATAACTGTCGAGATATTTTTTACATGTATGTAACTGTCGATATATTTTAGACACGTATAAAACTAAAGGCAAGATTTTTATGGATATCAACTTCTTTATTGTGATGGACACGTATATAACTGTCGATATTATTTGACACGTTTAACTGTCGATATGTTTTTACACGTATGGTTTTCGATGTAATCAATAGCAAAAAACAGCTCATCATTAGTACAAAAAGTGGGGCGGTGGGGTAGCCCAGTGGTCAAAGCGTTCGCTCGGCACGCCAAAGACCCGAGTTCGATTCCCCACATGGGTACAATGTCTGAAGCCCATTTCTGGAAAGTGACACCGGGCAGATCAGAGTGCAGGATTCGAGTCCTTGTTGAATAAGTCAAGTTTACTGTAAGATAGGTACATGAAATCAACTCACCATCATCTGATCCGAAGGTGATAGCCGAAATGCACTTTATGATGTGGTGCGGGACACAAGGCGCTCTCGGCAGCCACGTAGACGTTGGTTGCAACTACAACGACAGCTACCGGAATCAGCATCTTGACTCGTCAGTGTCCGCTGGAGTAGCACGGTGCAGACAGAACTATATACACAATAGAAAGTATGGAATATGAATTCTGCAACAGATGGGTTGCATATTTGGCTGACTCAGACTGCGGAAACATACCCTTATATCGTTAATCAAACATTTACATTTTTCTATCACTTTTCACGAAATATGCATCTGTCCGGTAAACAGGTATCGGTGATGCACTGGCGTACAGACCTACTTGCACTTACATACTTTCACGAACATGAACATTCTATTTCAGAAAACACTTGTCCCAATTCAGCTAACGTCAATGGCTGATTCTGGGCTTCACATAAACGAAGCTCCATTTCATCCCAAACATGCTCGATAGGGGACAGGTCCGGAGAAACAGCTGGCCAAGGGAGTACCGGAACGTTTTGCTGTCTCAGGAAATATGTCACAACACGAGCGACTTGTCGACGTTGGACAACGCACGCGTCAGCATACCGTTCACCTCGAGCTGGCTGTCTGTACACCCTTGAAATCTCGACTCGTCAGTACACAAAGCACCATTCCAATCTTGTCTCCTGTACCATAGATGCGGTCTGCACCAGGCAACTATATGTTCAAATAAAGCAAACACAGACTCTTTCTCAAGCTAATATGACGTTAGCAAATATCATTGACAAATAAATTATATATTACCTATCTATGATTAATGTTGCATCGTAAAATAAGCTTCATTGCATGGTCGCTTTTCTCTATTTAGTATGGCATCAACAAATACTTGATAGTTTGGCAGGTTGAAATATAAGCCGCAGTGTCTCGAGTTAGCATATAGTTAGCTCATACTCTGAGCCCTACCTTTTATAACATGTCATCATGGCCTAACATATCATTATCAGATAGGCCACAGTGTCTCGAGTTAACATGTTGTCATACTTTGAGCCCTATCTATCGTGTTTAACATGGCATCATGGGATTGACTTATCAGTCAAGCCGCAGCACCTCCAGCGTTACAGTGTCTCAAGTTAACAAATATGTCTATTTGAATAAACAAATACATTTTAGTAACTGTATCAATGACTGTCAGTTACTTAGATTTGTCTCAAGTAAGATATATCCCATCCAGGGATGTGTTTTATTCAGCATCGGTTGCTACAATGTTTCACCTGTACATAAGGGTAGCCCAGTGGTTAAAGCGTTTGCTCGTCACGCCGAAGACGGGTTCGATTCCCTAAATGGGTACAATGTGTGAAGCCCATTTCTGGTGTCCCCGCCGTAATGTTGCTGGAATATTGCTAAAAGCGGCGTAAAACTTAACTCACTCACTCACCTGTACATGTACGGCAGAGAACATCAGGACTCACAGACAGAAGAGCCCATAACAATCATAATGGATACAATGTGTCCCCATGTGCATTATTAGTTCAAACAATGCTGGCTTCTGTATTGCCATAGCTGTGTCTGATCAATGATTTACCCATACATACTAATATTGTATTGCGCCAATATCCAGCTCAGCTACTCAAAGGCCCCCGATCACTGGATTGCCAATCTCAGCGGCACATCGTATTTTCAATCTCAACTGCCTGGGAACATACAACTCATGCAGCCATTAGGCGCACCATGTCAGTGTGACTTTCCCATTCATACGAGGTACCCATCCACAGCTGGGTGGACTGGGACACATAGTCACAGTACTTTGTCCAAGTTCACTGCACGTTGCTGTATCCGCAGCTGGGTGTTTGCACGTATTCATGTGGCCACTATCTGGTCATCTACCAACGGATTCGTGGGTTCTTTTAAGTGCACAGGGTTGTGTACTGTACACTAGGGTTTGTGACAACATTGAAAGAGTCTGCACACAAAGCTGACTGCAAGATTTTTAACACCCGGTCACAGGTGGGATCGATCACGGCACCTTGAGCTCGCTGGATCACTAACCTTGGGGCTTAGACTGCTCGCCCACCCTCTAAAACAGGGGTATAAAACAAATAACCTCCACCTTTCGGATTACGTTATTAATGGGTTCTACTGCTGTTGCGCAGTAGAAGTGTCCAGTCGTGGGCTTCGTAATGTGGTTCAACTAAGCAGTAAAACAAGAACATTATTGAAACAATATTCATCTCAATTATTTATCAGTGACACATTTACAGTCGCATATCACATGAATTGGAATGAATTGGTAACATACAACATGCTACATACAATGGTATTGTCAAATGAATCATCTTATAGATGGAAGCGATGTAACTTTTAC